TCTATCTATCTATCTATCTATCTATCTATCTATCTATCTATCTATCTATCTATCTATCTATCTATCTATCTATCTGTCTATCTATCTATCTATCTGTCAACATAACCACATCCATCCATCCATCCATCCATTCTTTGTATCTATCCTTACATCCATCCATCTACCTATCTATCTACCCATCTACCCATCTATCTATCCATCTACCCATCTACCCACCTACCCATCTACCCACCTACCTATCTACCCGTCTGTCTGTCTGTCTGTCTGTCTGTCTGTCTGTCTGTCTGTCTGTCTGTCCACATAACCACATCCATCCATCCATCTGTCTGTCTGTCTGTCTGTCTGTCTGTCTGTCTGTCCACATAACCACATCCATCCATCCATTCTTCGTATCTATCCTTACATCCATCCATCCATCTACCTATCTATCTACACTTATATACATTTATCAACCTGTTCACCCATCCATCTCTCCATCTATCAGTCTATTTAAACATAACTACAAATGTACATATACATAATAATATAATATAGTGTATATCAGCTCACAGTTTGACAACCCTCACCAGTACTGAGTTTGGTGCCTTTGGTACATGCCACAATGGCGCCCATGCTGGGCTGGGATGTCATTCCCGCCATGGAGTCAACCGCCACATCCACAATGTCTGCTCCAGCCTCTGCACATGCCAGCATGGCAGCCACTCCAGCCCCTGCGGTGTCGTGAGTGTGCACATGGATCGGCACGTCTGGGAAACGGTCCCTCAACGCGCTCACCAGCAAATGGCCAGAGTCAGGCTTTAGGAGACCCGCCATGTCCTGCAGAGAGGAGAGACAGAGGGAGAAAGTAAAGGAAAGTGAGAGAAGTGCACCAGAAACAAACAGAGACAGTGATGCAGTGGTATTTTATGTGTGGGTGGAGGCAGAGTGGGAACAGCAGTTGAGATGAAAGAGTGAGCAAGAGTTGAAGTTAACAAAACAGACAAATGGATAAAAAAACCCACACAAAAATAAACAAACAACCACCTTGATACAGAGGATGTGAGTTCCAGCCTTGACTAGCTCATCTGCTAGTTTGAGATAGTAGTCTAAAGAATATTTCTGCCTTGTGGGGTCGGAAACATCGCCAGTGTACGAGATGGCCGCCTCCACCACTCCTCCTGCTGCACCTGCTGCCTCCATCCCCATGAGCATGTTTGGAAGATAGTTCAACGAGTCAAACACACGGAAGATGTCCATACCGTTTTCTTTAGCCACCTCACAGAACCTAAAAAAAACAGGAAATGATACAATGAGTAATGATATATCAAAGAGCCGTTTGTTTTGGTGTTGTTATTGTTAACGTAACCTAAAACTATAAAAACCCTGTTTTTGGTAACTGAAATAAAGCAAAAAATATATATGATATATATCATTATATATTACAAAACATATATCTATATAATAAGATGAAAAACCTAAACTTTAATGTAAATTAGAAATGTTGCCTTGGGAACTGACTGAAATAAAAAAAATATATAACATAACATAATTTTACTAAAATGAGAAACTAAAACTGAAATAAAAATAAAGTGAAACAGAGATTTATTCATAAAAACACATAAAATAAAACACTAACTGAAAATATAAAAAAGCTCATTTCAAATATTAATTAATACTATAATAGCATATAAATAATATTAAAATAACACTGGTTTGTTTACTTAGGGGAGGCTTAGAAGATGTACACGTGTGTCATTCCTGTTTTTTGTTCTCCTACCTTATTTAAGCAAGTAATTAGGGCCCATTAAAATGTCAGTTGCTTATGTTGCCTACAGTTTCTGGGAGATTTTTGATTTACATTTACATATTTTGCCATTGAAAATGCTGAATGGAAACTGGTAGCAGCCATTTTATGGTAGGTCTGAAACAAAGCCATTAAAGGAGCACAAATGCTCCCCAGCTCCACATTCTAATGTGAATTAAAAGCCATCTGAATGGTGCTTGGGGCCAGAGTCAGTGGCAGTGAGAAACAAATGGAGAAGACTAAAGCTAGTAAAGACAAAGGGTTTTTCTAACATGTAGTGGAACCAAATGATTTTTCACTTTGTTCGTTAATGTCTGCATTCTTCCGCTGAAGTGGGCGGAAAACCATATTAAAATACTCTGTCGGTGTTTCATGTGTCACTATTCAGCAGCAGAATTGTGCTGTTCCTGAATCTATAATGTAATGGCAAAATAATTTACTATTGCAAAGTCATAGCAAGCAATTAATAAACAAATGACTCTAATGAGCTGGTTCTTTTTAATAGTGGCAAACAAGAAAAAAAAAAAAAGTCATTTCCAATTTGATTCCTCATGTGCTTTCTCAATGGTATGAAAATATTCATTGCTGTAAGTGGAATCTGAATCAGAACATTCAATTCCTCGGGATTCCGGTTCATAAAAAGATTAGCATTTGAGAAGTTAATTCAGACTGTGAGCAGGTTGTGGTTTAAGATACCACATGACTCACTTGAAGACGGCATTGTCAGGGTAGTTGGTGTATCCAACGGCGTTGGCACCTCTCAGAAGCATCTGAAAAGGCACATTTGGCATCAGAGCCCTCAACTCTTGCAGCCTTTTCCAGGGACACTCACAGAGGAAACGCATTGCTACATCAAATGTAGCGCCTGGTGAAGAAGAAAGAGAGACAAGACAAAAAAATTATAAATAAGAGGATCAGGATATAAACATAAGTGGAACAGATGTGGAAAACTCTAAGAAGCATGTAAAGCACCTTCCTATTGGAAACATAAGTCCTTACTTTGATTCCAGAAATGAACTCAACACACATCTAGTGTGCAACAGTCATTCAGTATTTATAAAGGCTAAATGACAACCAATTACTTTTAGGATTAGGAATCCAGAACTGGTTCTTGATCAAAAATAAATAAATACAGAAACTAGTTGAGTCTTTTGTGCCTGTTCTTTTTAGTGAATCAAAGTTCTTTAGTGACTCAAACGCTTGGCGCTAAAAAGGAATTATAATTATTATATAAATAGTTTTAAATCAGTGTAGTTAAAGACTGGCAGTGTTATTTTTGTATTATCTTTATACTGATATATTATTTAATAATATTTTATACAAGCTTAATATTTTCAGTCTTCATTTTAATTTGTTTTAGTAGTTGTCATTTAAATTTTTGTCTATACATTTTCTATTCAGCTTTAATTTATTTCAGTTTTATTTTAGTTGCCAAATCAACATTTCTAATGTTGTTTACTTTTTCATTTAAAGGGACAGTTCACCCAAAAATGAAAATTCTGTCATTAATTACTCGCCCTCATGTCGTTCCAAACCTGTAAGACCTTCGTTCATCTTCAGAACACAAAATAAGATATTTTTGATTAAATCTGAGAGCTTTCTGACCCTACATAGACTGTAACGCAACTGAAATGTTCAAGGCCCAGAAAGATGAAAAATACCGTGATATAAATTTTTGGTCATACCGCCCACCACTAACAAAATGTATCTAAAAAATGCATTATGCGTTTTGCCAGTAGTGGTTGCTTACTAAAGCTGTTTTATAAACCGTAAAGGCCAATTATTTGATTTATGGTACCTAGCCTGTATAAACACATTTTGAAAAAATTGTTTTAAACTTATTTATTAGTAAAATCATCAAACCATTTAACAATGGAATTGCATTTATTTTTTAACAAACATTTATTCCTTAAAAGTACTAAAACACAGTCATTAAGAGGAATCCAAAGTAGACAAGCTGGAGAATAGTGGGCTGGGTTTGCTGCTAGAATGCGAGAGAGCAGTGAGGCAAAAAATAGAGAGGGAGAGAGAGAGAGAGAGAGGGTGAAAGAAAGCATGAGAAGGAAAGAAAACAATAGTGCCGAACTAGTACCACACCTCCCCAGTTTTCCACACTGAAGAGGTTGCTGAAGCTGTGAGCCACAAAAGGTGCAATCCGTTTGAGGTCGTGAGTGCGTAGAAACTTAAATTCATTTCAAATAACAATATTTTATAACAATAAATGTCTTTACTGTCACTTTTGATCAAATTAATGCACCTTGGTTGAGTATTGCATTTCTTTAAAAAAAAATCTTACTGATGCTAAGCTTTTAAAGGGTAGCGTACAAATCTGCACAATTTACTCTGTATTAGTTGCACCGACATTAAACATTCATAAAAGAAACACAGAGCTGTTTATAATCTGTAATAAGATCACTGATGCATTAAACATGCATTAATTCATTTTACAGTACCTCAAAAATAAAGTTTTACACAAAGAAATCAATTATGAAGCAAAAAATGTGACAAAAATGTCCCAGATGTTATCAGTGTGGGGTCAAAAGTAGTATATTCTATGGATTTTGCTTTCATCTGCTGCCTGACCTTTTATTCTATTCTATTCTCGGCCTATTAAACAATGTGTTTAGTTGAAATGAGTTCAATAAACACTCTTGAAGAGTGTTTATTATTTCATGACACCTTGTGCATTATTTAAGGCTACTTGATTTGATTTTATATTTAACAGCCATAACTGGTCATACTGAGAGTTTCTGACATAAATCGACAACATGCTGTGTTTTATGATTTGAAATAAATAACCTCATAAAGGTATAAATGCCACTGATAATAAATTCCAAGAGAGCAAACAAAATTGAATAATAAAAAAAAAAAGTTATTTTCTGACACTAACAGAAACTAATAGCACTTCTGAAATGAATCAAATATAAAATAAGTGCACCTTTAAATTCAGTCAAATGTGTGAATCATTCTGTTCATTGAATCAATTGTTCAATAAAAGGTTACCCAGGTAGTGAAGCAGTTTCTGGGCTCGGTTCTGCACCGGTTTGAGGTTGAAGAGATCTTGATTCTCGTCGATGAACTGAGTATCTACCGTCCCATTCAGGAACTGATTATTACTCAGCACGTTCTGGAGGAACGGGATGTTTGTCTGGGGAGAGAAAAGAGAACAGACAAATACATTTTTAACTAGTTCAGAGGAGCTGATGACCTGAAAGCTGGTGAGAGCCTAGAGTGGGCAGCTCTTGCGAGACGAAGACCAATCAACACGGGCTGAGCTTAGGTGCTAATGGTCCTACACAGGGCAGATGGGGCCATTCGGTAGGCAGTTCTAAAATCAATACCATTATCTAGCTCACCTGCAGAGTGCATACAAACACACAAACTGCCAATTAATAATACAGACATTATCACAAACACCACACTGCGTAGGACTACAAAGGGAAAAAAACAAAATTTTTATGAGGGCTATTATTCACATACAGACACAAACGCACAACAACATGCATCTTAATAGAAATACAGTATTACAACAAAGAATGAAGTAGTTTTTCCAGAACATAACAATTGATTTTCGTAAAAAAAGTGAATGAAAACGTGGTGGAGGGGCTCTTTTGTAAACAAATGTCTATTATGGTCCTCCTGATGTAGATTCATAATACAGTCACGGGTAACTTCATGAAACGCTGAGGGGGAAGAATTAATTATGACCACCTTCTGAAAGACGTTAACATACTCTATACTTCATGCCTTCTGCAGTGCATCAATGAAATATCACGGCAACCAAGTGCAAAGGCAGCTTATACTGAGTTTGTCGTGTGAGAAACTGACAGCGTGTGAATGTAAGATAAGGAAAGTGTGTGCGTTTCTCACCGAGGGGTACTGGTGGGATGACCGGATCGATGGGAGAAGGCTTAGCCTTGATAAATCTGAGAGCTTTCTGACCCTACATAGACTGTAACGCAACTGAAATGTTCAAGGCCCAGAAAGATAGGACATTGATAAAATAGTCCATGTGACATCAGTGGTTCAACCTTCATTTTATGAAGCTACGAGAATACTTTGTGCGCAAAGAAAACAAAAATCACGACTTTATTCAACAATTCTTCTCTTCCGCCTCAGTCTCCGCTGCCGTTCACGAGAGTACCATGACTAAAGTCGTTATTTTTGTTATTTTTTGCACACC